GCTTTCGTCATCTCCGGGGCCTTCGACGCGATCGACAAGTCCCTGAGCATCCCTGACCGGATCGAGAAAGCTATGCAGCGCGTGGGAGTCTCCGTCACGTTGACTAAGGTGACCTCCATCTCCTCTTTCCTGCTGGGTGCAACCTGCGTCTTCCCTTCGGTCCAGTATTTCTGCGCCTATGCCGCCATCTCCTGCTTCTACATTTGGCTTCTTCACTGCACCACCTTCTGTGCCCTGCTCGCCCTCGATGCTAGGCGTGCCGAAGCAGACCCCCCTCGCCTGGACCCTTGCTTCTGTGTTGCGGCCGGCCCATCATGTATGCCCAGCAAAACGGACTCGCAGGGCACGTCGATTCTTGAGACGGCCCTCGTGGCAATGATCAAGTTCCTGACCAGCCACCCGGCCATCGCGTTCATCACCATCATACTTTTCCTCGTGGTAGCTGCAGTGTCTGCCTGGCAGGTGAGCCTGGGCCTCAGTACCGACTTCGACATCATGGACCTGTCGCCGGACAAGAGCTACTTGCGAGATTTCAACAATGTGGAAAACCTCCACTTCGGCGCCCTCTCAACAGGGGGCTTGTCCTTGCCATGTGCCTTGTATGTGGTAGACCAGGACATTAGCTCCCTGGCAGTGCAGCGCCATCTAGAAGAGGCCAGTGCCGGGTTGATGGCACTCGACAGTGTCGACTCTGTCCGGGGGCTTCAGTCATGGCACACCACCTTCACACTTTGGGCTTTGCAGAACAAGGGTGTCCTTGCTTCCCTGCCTGACAGTGCCTTTACCGCAGTCGATACGAACCGTACCGGCTGCCAGGCCGGCTTGCCCTCCGGTGTCACGACCTGCGCCAGTCATCTGGTCACAGGCAGCACTTTCTTGACCGCCGTGCAGGAGTTCCTCGCAACGCCTCGGGGCAGGGCCTTCGAAGATGATGTGGTGATCCAGAACGGACAGATCAAGGTGGTTCGTATTCGGGCCAATCATATCGACACTTTCAACAGCCGGGAGCAGGTTGTCTTGCTCGAAGAGGTCGAGGCTTTCATTCAGCAGTGGCAAGCCGCGCTGCCAGGAAGCTTCGTGAGCGCGGCAGCGTATATCTTCTTCGATCAGTACCGCATCATTGTGGAGCAGATGACAGTTAGCATTGGGCTCTGTCTGGCGGCAGTTCTCCTCGTTAGTGTGCTGGTTTTGGCCCATCCCCTCTCTGTTTTGGTGGTGCTTCTCGTCCTTGCGCTGGTCTTTATGGACCTCATGGGCAACATCGTGCTATGGTCCCTGGCCCTCAACTCCATCTCCATGATCAACCTTGTCATGGCTGTGGGGCTGGTCGTGGATTACTCCATGCACATGGCCCACAGCTTCGGGCTGCAAGATGGATCGCTGCCACGTGCCAAGCATGCTGAGCTGGCCATGAAGGAAATGGGACAGCCTATTTTCATGGGTGTCAGCACAACCTTCTTGGCCATCTTGCCTTTGGCATTCTCAGCCAGTCAGGTTTTCCGCGTTTTCTTCCAGATGTTCTTTGGCATTGTATTGGCAGGTGGTTCACACGGGCTGATCTTCCTTCCTGTATGCATGTCCATGTTTGGTCCCAGTGTGACCAAGTCCACAAGCGTGGAAGACATATCGAACACCGACGCGGAGGCTGCTGCTGGCAAGGTCGCCAACGGTGAGTCGGCGCAGAAGTAAGCTGCAGGGTTGTTTTCTTGGTCAGCGCTAAGCGATGACATGTCCTCTGACGGTTGCACGTAAAACGAGCTGCCGTCTTTTTGGTTTTCTCGCAGTGCTCCCTGTTTTCGATTCGCCTTGTTCCTGGTTAATCTAACTCCTGATCAGGGCTGGGAGAGGTGAGTCGTGGCGGTCTTCGGGTGCATTCCCAAGATCGTTCTGGGGGCAAACTGCTGAACGAGTTACTCAGCCATGCCACGCTTCATGGTGGGAGGGCTTCCGAGCCCTCTCCTGTGGATTGCGTGCAATTGCCAGTACCACCAGCTTGTGCCTAGTACTTCGATAATAAGCGGTCTTGCTTCTTGCGGGACTATGCAGTAGCTGGTTTTTCCACTCCGACAGAAGCGAAGTCAGAGTTTCTCTGGCAGACCCTGTGGCAGTTCGTACTTGTGCGTGGCAAAATGTGTTTCTTCGCCTCTGCAAGCGTCGACTTGCGCAGTCTGCACAGTCTGCACAGTTTGACTTGTGAGTACACGCGGACACGCGCTTACGGATGTGTTGATCTTGGGCAGGACAAGGAGACGGGCCTGAACCATCTGGAGCAGATTGCAGGCACAAGTACTGGTTTATACCCAAAGTTCTGAACACATCAGGTCGCACACGTGCCTGGACAGCCTTACTGCAGAAGCTTCTTCCATGCCGGCTCTCCAAGAGCTATTGAAAGCACGTCTATCTGTGTGAAGGGTTTCTTGGGGTGTAGGGTGTGGAGCATGAACAGCTAGGGCGGGAGCGCTGATAGGGAGCTCCAAAGCCCCAGGCTCTACCGGGACCCCTCGTTTCGTTATCGATTCCCACAAACATGGTAAAGCTCGGTACCCGGAACCTTTCATCCACTCTGCAAGTTTACTATGTCCTCGAGGCCGCGAGGGCGTCCGTAGAGTTTTGGCGGCCCGGACCGAGACCACCCTCCGGCGCATGTCCTCCACTGCACTGGCGCCTGGGCAATAGTCTCGAATAGGCTTGGTTGGGTTGGTTGCAGGCTATCGGCGTCGAGGTCTCGTCGTACTGTGATGCATTCTCAGGCTTCAGGGCATGGTTGCAGGGTAGTTCCGTGCCCAGATGACTCGCTACTTTTCACCAAGGTTGCGCAGCACATGCAGGTTCTCGATGTCAACGATGACGCAGAATTCCTGGAGCAGCCGGTCAGCGAGGCATCGGCGGAAAGGGTGAGCAAAACCTGCAAACCAGAATGCAGGTATATTCTAGTAATCATAACAACAGTAATTAACAAGAATAACTCGGATCATACTCTTAACAACAATAATAATAAAAATCGTTGTTTAGCAATAGTAACAATAATAAAAGTAAGTCATAGTACTATCTGAAGCCTTACATCTGGGCTCACACCAGATGCACTTTGCAGGAGCGGATCCACGAAATCATGAAGGCGGAGTGTTGCTTCATAGCTTTTCTGCTCTGCACCTTCCGATCCTTGCTTTGGGTGGTGTCTGCTGCTGCCTGCAGGCTTCTGCACCTTTTCCCACTAAAGGGCCCAGAAGGTAATCGCAAAGACGTCTGTGTCTCCTCCGTGTCATTGGCTTTCACTATGACAACTATCATTATTGCCTCGATTGTCTCAGCAGCTCTCTAGATGATGATGATGATGATGATGATCGCAGACTGAGGCACGGCTTCGGTTGTGGTGACGATGATCGCAATGCTGGTCGTGTTTCCTCAGCCAGACGTCGCCTCGAGCACAGTGGTCATCACGTCTCCCGCATTCGTTGTGGACGTCGTCGTATCTGGTGACGATGATGGTGGTGGTGGAGATGATCTCCTCCTCCTCCCTCGTGCCAATCCTCATCCTCATCCTCAACACCACCATATCATGATCATCGTGCTGGTGTGTTGCAGCTGATGGTGAGATGTCATGAGTGGACCAACAGTTATGACAGCTGTCGCGTTTATGATGACGACCGTGCGGCTGCTACCGATGACGACAGCAGCGGCGGCGATGGTGACTGGTGGACGACGATGTCAATGCCGATACAGATAATGATAAATCTACGATCATGGTGATGATGTTGCTGAAAGTTGTTGATAGTGGATGATGATGATGGTGATGATCATGCGGATGTGGATGATGATGATGGTGATGACCACCATAATGTTTTCATGTTGGTCTTGATGACAATCATTGAGAGGATTATCACGGGACTGGTTGTCATGATGACCAGGTGACGATGATGCCCACAACGATGGTGATGATGATGACACTGCTGCTGATGATTATGGTTATAATGATGATGAAGATGAAGCATTATATGCTGCCGCTGATGATGATGCCAAACTTAGTGGTTGCGATGAAGATGGCTATGACAAGCCTGCAGGCATGTCTTGGCACAACGTCCTCCTGGTTTCTTTTCAGTGTAAGAAGCTTTTGCCTGCAGACAAACCGGAGTTTCCACAGTTTCGTGGGCTAACAAGAAAGCAGAAAAGTAAAGATGCTACCAGGGCATTGATCTAACAGCCATCTGGCAGCAATTAGCCCCACTTGCGTATTTCTTTCGTTTGTAGGGCTCCATGCCAAGGGCTGGGGGAGAAGTGGAAGGCATGGAGGTTCTCCTTCGTCCAATTCTGCCGTGCACGGGTTTCATGTCGTCGACCTCAGCCAGATGACGAGACCCCAGACGCAACAGCACAAGTGAACCTACATAAGGCCTTAGTGATTCGGATTGGAGGCCTCCGTGGCCCGCGCAAAGGGCGCACCCCGTGATGCGGAAACGCTGCAAAGCGCCTTTGCTTCATCAAATCCGAGCTGCCGCAGGGTTGTTCGCTTGCGTTTGAAGGCTACCTGGCATCCGAAGTTTCAAGGAGTCCCGAGAAATGGATAGAGCTTTCCTGTCCTTGTGAGACGCATCGATGCCTTTGATGCATCGTGCTGGAAGCAGACTCTGTGGTGGATGTGCCATGCCATGATCTTTCGAGTTTGCATTGGTGTTCTGAAACATGCCGGCTGCTATGAGTGTCAGCCACTTGTCCTGTGAGGAGTTCCACCAAATGATCCCTGAGTTCTCATGACTGTTTGATGTCCTGTCCAACAACAATTTGTCGATGCCTGTCTGTGTCCCTAGGCTCGGATCTTTGAGTATGTTGAGTCATTTTTTGTAGTGCATTGGCCAAACTCGGCCAAATCATTGTTTGTTCCGTTCGGGTCCTCATTACGGTAGATAGCTTTCGTTTGGACTCTTGTCGCCAGTAGCAGTGGTGTAACATTTTTAGTCCGCTTTCTGCAGTCGGACGTCGCCATTGCTATGCCGAATCTTGTTCAAGCCGTACTGCCTGGATTGCTGTTGCGATTCTACTGGCTCTACTCATCTCGTCATTACTATGATTGGCTTCTGAATTATTTTATGACCCATATTCCGAGTCATTCAGGCCTGATCTGCCAAGCAGAACAGCGGCGAACAGAGAAGCATTGCGTGACACAGTGGCTCATGAAGTCAGGGGCTCGAGATGACTTGAACAGTTTAAGTCTTTGGGTCAAGGGCTTTGTGGCTCAGGAGGTACTTCAGCCACTTTTCAGAGTGAGGGCACTAGGACTTGCTTTCTCACCCACTAGCATGTCGGATTTACAGGCATGTTCAGATTGCAGTCGCTCACGTTCTTCTTGTTGCTCTACTGTTCTCATCACATTGCTATGCTACTGGGAGCTTTGCTGGATGGAAGCATGAGAGCGTCGGGCTGCATGCTAGGCATATTTCATACTTCTGTGCATTTCGCTTTCCAACGAAAGCTTCAGCCCCGCAGAGCTCTAAGAGCCTATGATCCGTGCAGTCTTATGCAGGCACTTGTTGCTGTGAGTCCCTCTTTGCTGGCGCCTCTTCCCCCCAAAACGACCACAGCACAATCACCAATACTTCTGCAACTACTCGCAAACTGCTATGCATCATGCTACTCCTCGTTCTACTGCATGCACTAGTGCCATCACACGTACACCAGATGTTCCAGTATTCGTGCCAGTAGCAGTAACAGCAGTGGTAGGCTCCTCCTCCTCCTCCTCCTTTGTGGGTTGGGGCAAGCGCATTGTTGGTTACATTGCCCTGGAATCCCCATCCACCGGAGCTCAAGCTATAAGGTTGCTAGGACTTCGCTGGTGTCGCTGAGGCCATTCTGTCGCGGAATTTGCCTACGCATTCATGCGGTTATCGCGTGCCTTCCTCGGTGGCGGACCAGTGCCGTCGAGCCAAGACCATCTTCTTCCTACACCCCATAGCAACTCAAATTTAGCCCGAAGTTACCAGCAAATCCCTGACATTCAGCATCGCGCAGCAGTACAGGTCGCAGGCATCTGGGGTGGAAATGGCACACTTTTCACTGAGCAGCTGCATGATTCAAGAGTCTTTCGCAAACTAGGGCAGTGCGGATCCAAGAAGCGCACAGTATTGGTAGTCCTTGACCGTTAGGATCACCATGCCATCTTGGTGTAGGGATGCAGCGGCAAGAACAGAGGACAGCACTTACATCAAGCGTGTCCCGACTCTTTGAGAGCCCAAGGCAAAAGCTGAGCCCAACCCAAAAATCCACGTCCTTGAACCCAAAGCCTTCACACAAAGGCTTTGCTATATCTTCTCACCGGTCGGCGAGACGGCTCTGCGCTCAGGATTGCGGCCGCACTGTAAAGGGACACTCGACCTTGTGTCTGCTGTTCATGCGCCCGTCTCCGGGAAGGGATCGTAGGAAGCAGGGGCTCATGACAGCTATGAAAATGTCAAACAGCACGTCTGAGGTCTTGAAGAGCCAAGCCCAGCAGCTGCAAGCCGTGGAGGCCGGAGACTTTCAACCTCAGAGGATTGAGTGACGTTCCTGGCTGAAAGCTACAGAGCCGTTTCCAAAAGAGCGGCGGGAACCACGGCAGGAGAGCACGCAGTGGAGCAGCTTCTATGCAGGGAACTGCATCGGCTGCTCCAGCCTCAGGTAAGGTGTCTGCTCGGAAGCCGTCCTGGCCTTCAAACGACGTG